TCGAGTCTCTTTGGCGCATGGCCCATCACCGCACTGCGACCGACGGTCGTCGTGCAACCGGCGTCCGCGGCCGACGCGTGGTACCGCGGTCCGACCACCGGCGTTGCGGGCGCTCTGCTGACGTGCCAGTTTTACGCCGTCGACGGCTATGGCAACGTCCGCCGTCGGCTCTTTTTTGGCACCCGCGACGACTACCGATTTGTCCTCGTCGGACCACGCACCGTCGACGGTACCGTCGTCATGGACCCGGCGACAGGTATTGGGACAGCGACCGTGACGCCCACGATCGCTGGCACATACGACGCCACGATTCTGCTCGGGACATCCGTGCTCCGAACCGTCTCGGTAACGATTCGCCCGTCGCCGACAAGTGGACCACGGTCGACGGTCGCTGGTGCCGGCGTGGCACCGCTCGGCGTCGTGGCGGCGACACCAACGACGATAGCGCTGCGGGGCGTCGACTTGTACGGTAATGTGCAGTCGATGGGCGGCGGAGTGTTCCAAGTCAGCGCGACCCACGTCGCGAGTGGCCGCGTCGATCTCGGTGTCGTCGACGACGTCGGCGACGGCACGTACGTAGCCACTTACACGGCGCGCTTCAGTGGCGCTTACTCGATCGCCATCACCATTGCGCAGTTGCACGTGGCGCAGAGCCCGTACAGTATCGTGGTCGTTCCAAACACTGCGTATGGCCCGTCGTGCAGCGTTATCAGCGGTAGTAGGCGCGTGTGGACATGCTGGTCTTGATGGACCGTCGATGCGTAGGCACTGGCACCGTCGCGTCGACGACCGGTGTCCCGGCGACGTTTACAGTCCAGCTCCGTGACATCAATAGCAACGCGATTTCGTCCGGCGCCGCCGTCGTCGCCGTTGCGTCGACGTCGCTGCTCGTGTCGCCGAGTTGTGTCAACCTCCTCAATGGCAAGTACCAGTGCAGCTACATATCCACGAATGCAACGTCGGCCATGCCACTGGTCGTGACAGTCAACGGCCTTCCGATCCAGCAGAGTCCGTTTGCCGTTCTGGTCACGACCGGTGTCGTCACGGCCGGCGTCTCGGTCGCGCTATCACCGCCGGGCAGCACTGGCCTCTTGTACGGTATCGCTGGCGTTCCAACGTGGCTCCTCGTGCAAGCGCGGGACGTCTACGGCAACAACCGGACCAGTACGGACGTGATCTTTGTTCGCTTTGCCAACGCATCGACGTCCGCTGCCGTCGTTGGAACCTCGGTGGTGGCAAGCCTCGGGCGTGGGCTCTACAACGTCAGCTACGCGCTCACTATCGCCGGTGCCTACGCCCTCCATGTAGCCGTGGACACTTCGACCACCGAGATTCAAGGCAGTCCGTTCCCAATTCAGATCCACCCCAACGTGGCCGACCTCCAGACAACGACTGCAACGGTCGTGACGCCGCAGCCGTTCATCGCGGGTGCCCCCATCGTAGCCGTGCTCGCCCCGCGCGACGCCTACGGCAACCCGACGCTACGGCAGTGGTACCGCTTCGGCTCTGTCGAGCTCGACTCTGCGTCAACGGTTGTGCGTCCGACGGTGCAGCCAGTCGACACTTCGACCACCCTCGTGTCGTGGACACCAACCGTTGCGGGCATCTACGCCTTCCATCCATCGATCTTCGTCCCCGGCGGTGGCAACGCCACGATCTACGCCAACCCGGCGGGCCTCGGTGCAGGGCTTCTCCTTCTCCAGCAACCGCTTCGCTTCGACGTCGGCGCGAATGCGGCGTCGCCGTCTGACATCATGTCGGCGTTCAGCGTGCGCTGGGAGGGCTACCTCGATGCACCGACGTCCGAATTGTACACGTTTACAGTACACGTGGTCGGTGCGGTTGCCGTCTATCTCGATGGCGCACTGCGTCTCAACCTCACGTCGACGACGACAGCGACGTTCACCCATCCACTGACAGCCCACGAGCTCGTGTCGTGCGCGGTTTTTTTTGCCAAGACGAACGACACAACCGCGCGCTTTGAGGTGCAGTGGGCAAGCCTCTCGACGCCGATGGCACCGATCCCGCCGACGGCCTTGGTGGCGCGCTGGCGCATCAACAGCATCACGCCGATACTACGCGTCTACCCCGAGGCCTCGTCGCCCCCGCACTTTGCCGTCGCCTCGCCACTGCCATCCGAGTGGGTCGCCGGTGCCCCCGTCGCTCTTGTCGTTGTCGCCAACGACAAATTTGGTAACGCTCGGCGGCAAGGTGGCGACGGCGTCGGCGTGCAAGTGGACGGAACGACGACCACCGTGGTCGTCATCGACCACCACAACGGGTCCTATACGCTCCTTTTGACGGCGTGGACGGCGACGCCGACGGCGACGATGACGATCGGTGTCAACGCAACGCCCGTCGACAGCGCACTGAGCCCTGGCGCGTACGCCCGGAGTCTCTGGAGCATCGGCGGCGCACCCGTGGCGTTTGCGGTGGCCGCGGCACCCCCCGTGCTGGCGCAAAGCGTCTTTTCGGGCGACGGTCTTGTCGGCGGCGTCGCAGGCGACCCTCTCACCTTCACCTTGCAGCTCAAGGATGCCTACGACAACGACGTATTGCCTTCCATCTCCGCGACGGTCACCTTGTCGCCTCTGTCCGTGGTCTGTGGAATGACACCGGCGGCACCGGCCTACACAGTCTCCTGCCCCGTCGTCGTCGCCACCTCGTACACGATCGAGGTCCATATCGACGGCGCTGCGGCGTACTCACCCCCCGCGTACGCTCCGGTGGTGCGACCGTCGGTCGCGGCGTCGGCGACGACGACGATGTCAACGACGCTGCACCCGGCGCTGGAGACGCGGGCGTTCAACCTCCAGCTCTATGACGCGTACACCAACGCCGTCCATCTCGGCGGCGACGTCCTCCGCGTGAGCTTCCGCGGTGCTGCGACCGCCGTCGCCACGATCGTCGACCACCTCAACGGGTCGTACACCGCCTACTACCAGCTGCCGCGGGCTGGCCTTTACGAGACGCGTGTCGACTTGATCTCGAAAGCAAGTCGAGGCCTCTACGGACACTACTATGGCCGCGTCGCGAGCTCAACTCCGGATGTGACGCGGCTCGACGCGCAATGGCACAATGACGGGTACGCCAAAGTCACGTGGACCGGGTTCCTTCTCGGCGGCTTCTCCGAGCTCTACCAGTTGGGCGTCCTCGGCCTACCTCTGGACGCGTCCGTGCAACTTGTGCTCGACGACAACGTCGTCACGACGACGACGCCGATTGCTCTGCGCGAGGGGTTTCCCCACGTCCTCACGCTGACTGTCGAGGGGCCTTCGACGCCATGGGCGATGACGCTTACGTGGGCGAGTGCGAGGACTCCTCGGAGCCCTGTACCCCTAACCCACCTCTTTGGCGAAGCGATCGAGGCCGCCCCGCGGACGCGGCTCGTCGCGGTCTAAGATATACAACTTGAACACACGTTGTTATGTCGTCGTCTGTCTCTTGTTCTCTTGCCTACCTTAATAAAACTACACCACGCGTCTTCACTTATATTGTATCGTCCGACATGAGGAGGCCGCCAAACTCGTCCGGGTCGTACTCGTCGAGGTCGGCCATGAAGCCGTTGAGCCCGTCGTCGTCCTTCATGTCGTCCTTGAGGAGCTCGGGCGGACAGTCAAAGAGGCCGTCTTCCGACGTTTCCGGCTCGGTCGCGATCACCAGCGGCGGCGACAGCGACTCCTCTTCCTTGGGTTTCTTGGCCACGTGCGACGTATCGTCGGGGGCGTCCAGTGGCCGCTTCTTGGCGTCGGTCGACGACGACGACGACGGCGGCGGCGGTGTCTGCTCCCGCGCCTCCTCGGCCACGAGCTTGTCCATCTCGACGGGGTTGCGTACGAGCTCGCACACGACGCACGTGAGGTTCGTGCACTGCTGAAAGTGGCTCAGCACATACTTGGAGCTGAGGCAGTGCGCAAACGCACACGCGTCGCTCTTCTTGCACTGGTTGATGTGCGCCCAGAGCTTCTTCATCTCGGCGCAGTGGGCCGCATTGCACTTGTCCAGCGTGCAAAAGAGTGCGTGGCGCAAATGCAAGAGGCGCTGCTGCTGCCGCTCGAGGATCGTCTGGTTCTGGAGCACGTTGCGGGGTTGCATCATGCCGACGACCTTGGTGTGGTAATCCTGTGTCGTCTTGGCCGTCAGCATCGACGCGATCGTCTTGGCCTTGTCTGTAAACAGACGAATGCGTTCCTTGCTCGTCGCACTACCGCTCGCCGGCTCGTCCTTGACGGGTGCTGATGCCTGCGCTGATGCCTGCGCTTGTGCTTGGGCTTGAGCTTGTGCTTGTGCTTGGGCCTGCGCTTGCTGCTGCTGCTGCTGATGATGATGAAGGGCCTGGGCCTGGGCGTGCTGTTGCTGCATGTGCTGCTGCTGTTGGTGCTGCTGTTGGTGTTGGTGTTGCTGCTGCTGGTGGTTGTGCATTTGTTGCTGCAGCTGCTGCTGGTACTGCTGTTGAAAGTGGGCCTGTTGCTTCTGCGCGTGCTGCTGCGCGTGCTGTTGTTGCTGCTGCGCGAGTCGCACGGGCTGGCACACGGCGCACTGCTGCTTCATGCACTGCTGAAAGTGCGCGAGGACGTACTTGGAGCTGAGGCAGTGGGGCGTCGGGCAGTTCTCCGTCTGCCGACAGCTCTGGAGGTGGCGCCACAGCGGCTTCATCTCGTGGCACGCCGGCGTCGGGCAGTTGTGCTCGAGCTGGCACTCGCTGGCGTGCCGGAGCTGCATGAGCCGCTGCTGCTGCCGCAGCAAAATCGACTGATGGTGCTCCTTGGTCTTGTCGTTGAGCATAAATTCCACCTTCTGATGGTACTCTTGCACCGCCTTCTCGGGCAGCGTCGACGCAATGCCCCGTGCTTGGTTCTGGAACGCGTACGGTGGCTGCATCGTGTTCACCTGCGGCGGGACCATTGGCGCTTGCGGCGGCGGGTTCGCATTGTTGTCCGGCCCCCGACACACAACGCACGTTGGCGTGCTGCACTGCTGGTAAT